ACCAGGGCTGCTTTGTTTCCAACAACGTTTAACACGGTGTTGAAACGGGGCGGCCGTATGCAGAACTGTAGCCGGTAACTCATTGCGACAGTTCTCTCTACCCAAGGGGATGGTGCGCATGCGCACCAGAGAGAGAGTCGCGTCGCTAGGCGACCGACTTGTGTTACAAAGTCCTGCTGCCCTCTGTCGCATGAAAGAGGCGCAGCATTATATGACGGTCGCTCACAACATTTCTGATTTTTTTGTTTTTTTTGGGTGTGAAGTGTTTCCTTTATTGACTCATTCAACAAGTTTACACAACCATTTTGAACATTTACATTTTGAACATTTAGCGCACCCAAACTGGGGGCTTTTGGAACAAACAGTGTGTGTGTGGGGTGGGACTGGTGCTTGGGAGACTGTGTTATAGAAACGCAGCGCCTCTTGGGGCTGGTTTCCTGAACAGTACAAACAAAATGCCTCTTGGGCGGCAGCCGAAAACTGGCGAACATGTCTCCCTGGTCCTGAAGTCCCTGCAGTGACAGTTTCACAGTTAGGAGGGCTGCGTCTTCTTCCTCCGAGGCGTCGCAACTTTCAGAAGACCCGGAGGGGGGGGGCCCTTGCTCCGTGGTTATGAGGCTGCAGTGGCTGGGTGCCTAGGCTCCCGGGCAGCACCGTTCTCTTCGCCGGAGGCGGCTGTGCGGCCGGCTTCTGTGTGCTGGTCTTGGGTCTCGAGTCCCGTCTGGGGATAATGCAGCGCAGAGCTTCTGCCTGCTTCTTCCTCAGCTCGAACTTCACCTGAATAATGTCGAGGGACTGACCGAATAACCCAGCCACCATAACTGGTTCATCCAGGTATGTGGCCCGGTCTCTGTCGGGGACATCAGAGAGTGTCAACCACAAATGTCTCTGCGCCACCACGGTTGAAGTCATCCCTCTGCCCAGGGAGAGCGCTATGCCGCGGGACGCACGGAGGATGTAGTCCGCGGTGAGTCTGATCTCATTTAAGAGAGGCAGCAGAGGACTCTCGGCCGGTACCTGGGCTCCGAGCTCCGCCAGAGCCATAGCCTGGTAAGTCTGGAGCATGCTGATGGAGCTCAGGCCGCGAYCGGCGGTGGCCTGAGCCTTGTAGATTTTTTCAAACTGCGCAGCAGAAAATCTACAGGGCTTGGACAGGAGCGTGGTGGGTCCGCTCACACCATGGTTGTGAGACGGGGCCAAATACGCTGCCAGGGATGGCTCCATGGGAGGTATGTTCACCAGTCCGGCTTTTTCAGCTCCTTCCAAATCCAAATACGGTCCATAGCCGGGCACTGTGACGCGGGTGGACAGAGGTTTGGTCCAGCAGGACGTCAGCTCCGAGACGAAGTCTGGGAACATGGGAAGGCGGTTTTTCACCGCGGTCGGTTCAGTGGGGAGGAAAAAATCTAGCGAAACGCGACGGTTTTTGTGCAGGAGGTTGAGCAGGCCATTCCACCTCCAGTTTCTGAGCAGCACGACGACACAAAGAGAGAAAAGACGTGTCCTCCTGGTTTGCCCCCGCAGCAGCGGGGGCAAACCGTGATGCAGGTCCAGATGAAACTGGGAGGCCTCCTCCTTCGTCGGCTAACCCCTCCATATACTCCACTTGGTCTGCCCTGCTGGAAGTGGGGACTTCGACCGAGGGCTCCTCCTCGTCAGACTCGGACGGAACCGGGTTACTAGACTCGGAGAGGAGAGGGTCCTGCCGCACGACTGCAGCCTCGCCCAGCACTTTCTCCAAGAACTTAACCCGTCTCTCCAGGGTTGAGCGTCGAAGCAGGCGGCAAAACGCACGCGCTTCGGGCTCCGTCAACGCTCTGCGAGCGTGGACGATCCCCAYACAGACCGGGCAAGCCTCGTGCTGGTCATTTTCGTGAAGCGAGAAGCCGCACCCCTGGGGACAYGGGCGAACTGAAGACTTCTGCTTCTTGAGTAATTTTGTGCTTATCCCGAACCACAAAATTCTCTTTCGTCGAGGTAAGAAAGGTTTCTCAAAGTTAGCGCTCCGCGGGCAGACACAGTTACCAGTAGGCAGCTGCAGCTGACACCAACAAAAGCCGTTAAACTAAATCCGAGAACCTTCGAACAAACAAAGCTAATTAGCAGCAGCTAGGTTGGAAGAGGTGGGTGTTCTTGCGAGGTGAAGAGCAGTAGAACTAAGGAGTGACTGTGATGTGACAGTATTTATATGTGCAGGCGGAGCCTGACATCTGTCGTCATCACATCACCTGCTTAAAGGCATGATTAGAGGTGCCTTCGGCCAGGACACACAGGGGCATGGTTTCCCATACATGATGTGTTGTACCGAGTGAATTGACTGAAAGGGAACTATTTGTTACAGAAATATACCAAGTTTTGATTGTTTGCTGCTGATAGTTTTGTTACAAATTTGGTTAGAATTTCATTGTAGATTTTCTTTTATAAAATCTATAGGAAAGATGTTGATTTGATTTTGATAATGTATAAAAAGTGAAAGTATAAAAAGCTTAAGCTTCTACCAACACTTTTTTCAGTCAAAACCTTGTCTTTTTGGCATAGACAGGAATTTAAAGATTGTGTATTATTTTCTGAATTATTCTGTTTTGTTTTCATTGTTCTGTGTTTTGTGCTGTTTTGTAAATGGAAAATTTTAAAATGACCAAAATAATAACAATAAAAAAAAACATTAACAGGACTTCTGAAGTGAAAAAAGTCTCCAGGATAGGAAGGTTGGGGGTTAAAGTCCAGTAGTTTTGTGTTTTAATAGTTTTTGGCTTGATTCAGTCCTACAGTTGACCAAAGCGACAGCAGTTAGTTGTGTGTCTGTCAGCGCTGCTCAGGAGTGGTGATATTTGTAGAAGCAGGCAGCTGGTAGATGAAGGAGCAGCCTCCGTCTCTGTAACAGAATTAATGAAAGTGAAGATTGTTGCTTTTTTCACACATCCGTTGCACCATATTGGCTCAGAACAATGTGCTCATTAAGCCTCTGGTTCCACTTTGGTTCTGCTGCAGATCAGAGGCGACTCATCGTCACATCAACCTAAAGAAAGCTGCAGGTGCGTCAGGTGAGCCGGGCCGTGGTTCTGCTGTTTGAACTTTGACCGACTGCTCGAAGCAGACTGATAACGCTGCAGATCGGACCGGTCCGGTTCTGCAGCAGGCAGGTTCAGTGTGTGCAGCGAGATGTTGGAACATCATCTTAGAGCTGTAATCTACATTTCCTGTGGGAGTGAGGCGCTGCCAGCAGAACATCAGAACATGAGAGCAGAACAGGTTCTCTGTGATTCTCTGCTGCTTTATGTTAGTGTGACAGCAGCTTTCAGCTCAGGCTCAGGGATTTAAAGATCAAACCGCTCTGTGGACAGAACCACACATTGACTGCTGCTGTACTGTTAGAACCTCCTCTGCAGCTCTGAGATGTTGGACTGATGGTCAGACCTCCTGCTGATGTCACAGTTGGACCAACAGACAGGAAGTCAGGCTTTATTTTGCTTTTCTGATTCTGACGGATTCTTTCTCACCTGAACGTGTTTCCTCTCACTAATCTATCTCACCTGATTGTGTTTCATCTCATCTCTAATTGGATCTTCTGATCACTTGAACAGTTTTCATCTTTCTCTCTGGAGGATCCAGCTGTTGGCTTTAGATTCTGAATTGTTCTGCTCGTTATCAGACGAACAGCACCGGGCCTCCATCTGCTCACATTCACATCACGTTCCACTGCACGTCCTGCTTTCACCTGGAGCCTGCCGCTCACACAGGAGCTCAGAGTTCAGCTGCATCATTCAGACGCTGGATGTGGAGGTAGAGACGAGCCTCGTTAATTAATGAAGTCTAACAAACTGCAGATGATGCTTCTGCTTTTAGAATTTAATTTGCTCCCCTTTTCAATAAAGCCCACAAGGAAAGAGCTCAAAGTGGATGTAGCCTTCATGTTTGTGAAGAAGAGAAACAAACAACAAATGATATGAGATCCTGAGTGAGTAGCAGCTCTTTAATTCAATGAGCTGATGTGTGATCACACACCAAGGCAGCAGCGTTTCTTTTCATTATAAAATAATGTCTGTTTTTTTTATTTGTAAACAGCTTTACTAAAGATTAGATTGTCTGATCAGGTGGTGCTGTGCTGTTATTGGCTCTGATGGAGCAACAGATTGTGTTTTCAGCAGGACACTCAGGTTCAGTTCAAGCTTGGATGGATTCATCAGCACTGCAGACAGAAAGCCCACGAGTGGCTGCAGAACTCTGCAGACAACAAACACTGAGTGACTGTCCTTCATGTGTTAGCATGAAGCTAACAGTTGTTGTCTGGATGGATTCTTTCAGGAAGATCTGTAGGGACGGCTGTAACCATCATGTGGCTGTCGCACATCTATTTTCTGTACTGTAACACTGTCAATATCTGCCATTTACAACATTTATTACACACACACACACACACACACACACATTATGCACACTACTGGCAATAACTTCATTTGACTCAACTGCACACCTGATTGTAATTTACCTGCACAGTATCATATTTCATTTTTATTGCCATGTACAGGAATGCCAACCTGCCATCTTTGACCTCCTCTCATGTGAACTTTATATACTGTATTTATCCACAGAGTTGATGTGATCATGAAATGTTGGATTGTGATGTCGCAGTTTCAGATGGAGGACGGTTAGAAACTGACGTGTATCACAAACCCACCCATACAGACCAGTATTTGCGTTTTGACTCCCACCACCCACTGGAACACAAGTTAGGAGTGATCAGGACTCTGTAGCACAGAGCAGACAGTGTCCCTACAAACCCAGGAGCCAGGCAGAAAGAGAAGTCACACACAAGACAGGCTCTGGAGCAGTGTGGTTATCCTGAAAAGATTCCCTTCAGTTTTACAGCAACACCAAAGAGTGTCAGGTGTTCTGTTTGTGGTCACTCAGGATGCAAGTGATACAAACAATTAGAAAAATCCAAACTACTTTCCTGAAATAGATGTGGAGATGTTGATTTTTTTTGTTTGTGTCTGCAGGTTTGTCTGGAAACCCTGTGGATTTGGAGAAACGACAGACCATGTTTGGGAAGAACTTTATTCCCCCAAAGAAACCAAAAACATTCCTGCAGCTGGTGTGGGAAGCCCTGCAGGATGTAACACTTATTATCCTGGAAATTGCTGCCATCATTTCATTGGGTTTGTCCTTCTACCACCCCCCAGGCGGCAACGCTGAAGGTCAGTCCCTGCCAGGGTCAGATTCTGCCTCGAAAGCTTAAAAGATCTTCTGTTATCAGGAGTTTGTCATGACTTGGATCAGTGATGATCGAATCCATGTCACTTATACTGTTTTTATAGGGTTAGCTGGACACGCTTTATTTTTTCTGTTGTGTGGGAACTTAGATTTTTTTTCCAAATTGAATTAAAGACTTTTTTTATTTTTTCCTTTTAATATGCTCCATATCAGAAACTTCAGGACACAGTGGGACTGAAAAGTAGAATTTATTTAGTCTTAAACACATCTTAAAATCAGTTTTGGAACTGATGTAATGTCTCAGTGTAGCCATCTGGCTGTAAACTCTTTAATCTAGACAAGAAAGACTTCATTATGTGTAAAACTGTGAATGTGGTGAAGTAACTGTACCACAGCTATGAAGAGGGAGGTTTGGACAAAAATACAATCATTTCACAGCATTAAAACAACATTTCAATCATAACTTTTGATGCGTTTTTATAGCTATCATTTTATAGGTATAGTAGGTTTATACATAATTATTTATAGTAATTTAATATTGATGCACGGTTATAAACAATTCAACTGTGATTCTGATGACAGTCATTCAGTTCAGTTGTTTTTCTGAACTCAGGACAGATTTTACACTAATCTATGATCAGTTTTTTATTTATAAAATTTTATTTTTTGTCAGAACAAAAACTTATTTAAACTCTGGGAATGGTTGACTTTTTAACACGGTTTATCTTGAAACCATTTTTAGCTCCACGACTAACAAATCTGTCCCTTTAATATGTTTACATACAGCTCAGTCCTTAAACCCTCAGAGGTCAGCTCCTTGTTTTACCCTCCAGCTGAAAGAAGACAGAAGATTCTGTTATCAACTAGAAAGATAAGATAAGATGATCCTTTATTAGTCCCACAGGTGGGAAATTTAGGTTGTCACGGCAGGAAGTGGACAGCACAGAAATCAGAGCAGCAGGTACAAACCAATACAAAATAAGATTTAAAAAAACAACAGAAAAACAACAGCATGGTGGAAAACACCATGTTACACACACACACACAAACACACACACACACACACACACACACACACACGTCATTACAATTGCACTTCACAAAAATATATTGCATATAAACCTGAGAAGATCTTTTATCTGACCTTTCTGCCCTCTTCACAAGTCTCTGTTTTTTTTTGGAAAAAAAAGTTTTATGTAACAGTTGCTTGTTCTTGTTTTAAATCTTGTTTTATCTTGTTTTGTCTCCCAGCTTGTGGACAAGCTGCAGGTGGGGTGGAAGATGAAGGAGAAGCTCAGGCAGGCTGGATCGAGGGTGCAGCCATCCTGTTCTCAGTCATCATTGTGGTCCTGGTGACGGCTTTCAACGACTGGTCGAAGGAAAAACAGTTTCGTGGACTACAGAACCGGATCGAAAAGGAACAGAAGTTCACAGTTATTCGTAAAGGACAGGTCATTCAGATCCCAGTGGCCGAGATCGTGGTCGGAGACATCGCTCAAATCAAATACGGTAACAGAGATTAAACCTTTAAAAGTGGAGTTCAGGTTTTAACCAGATGTGACTGTTAGTTTCTGCTCTGCCTGTTGGTAAAGTTCTGCCTGTTGGTAAAGTTCTGCCTGTTGGTAAAGTTCTGCCTGTTGNTAAAGTTCTGCCTGTAGTTTAAGGTTCTGCCTGTAGTTTAAGGTTCTGCCTGTAGTTAAAAGTTCTGCCTGTAGTTAAAAGTTCTGCCTGTTGTTAAAAGTTCTGCCTGTTGTTAAAAGTTCTGCCTGTTGGTAAAGTTCTGTCTGTAGTTAAAATTCTGCCTGTTGATAAAGTTCTGCCTGTTGATAAAGTTCTGCCTGTTGGTAAAGTTCTGTCTGTAGTTAAAAGTTCTGTCTGTGGTTAAAGTTCTGCGTGTTGGTAAAGTTCTGCCTGTAGTTAAAGTTCTGCCTGTTGGTAAAGTTCTGCCTGTAGTTCTGCCTGTAGGTAAAGTTCTGCCTGTAGTTCTGCCTGTAGTTAAAGTTCTGCCTGTAGTTCTGCCTGTAGGTAAAGTTCTGCCCGTAGGTAAAGTTCTGCCTGTAGGTAAAGTTCTGCCTGTAGGTAAAGTTCTGCCTGTAGTTTAAGTTCTGCCTGTAGGTAAAGTTCTGCCTGTAGGTAAAGTTCTGTCTGTAGGTAAAGTTCTGTCTGTAGGTAAATTCTGCCTGTAGGTAAAGTTCTGCCTGTAGGTAAAGTTCTGTCTGTAGGTAAATTCTGCCTGTAGGTAAATTCTGCCTGTAGGTAAAGTTCTGCCTGTTGGTAAAGTTCTGCCTGTTGGTAAAGTTCTGCCTGTAGGTAAAGTTCTGTCTGTAGGTAAAGTTCTGCCTGTTGGTAAAGTTCTGCCTCTGTTGGTAAAGTTCTGCCTGTTGGTAAAGTTCTGCCTGTTGGTAAAGTTCTGCCTGTTGGTAAAGTTCTGCCTGTTGGTAAAGTTCTGCCTGTAGTTAAAGTTGATGATGATGCCTTTATTGTCACTGTACAGAACACAATGAAATTACATTCAAGAACACCCATTCAAGAAGACACATGACAAAAAAACATAGTGGAACAAGTCATGCAGCAACCAGCAGGGGTCGTGCTACCTTTTAAAAAGAAAACAGAAAAAAAACCCACAGAAGGTTAGATGAGGAAAACAAAACAAAACATCATATTATATCAACGAAATATGATAGACTATGGTGTTTATAGAAAAAACCTCTGCAAGCAAGAGCACATTTATTAGCCAGAGGAGTAGTGAGTTTAGAAGGTGTGTGTCTGAAGCCATGAATGTTGTATGCACTTGTGTGAATATCTGAAGAATGAGTCCAAAGAATCCAGTCCCCAAAAAGATAAACCCCATAGTTCAGCCACTGTCCAGAATATTGGTGTTGATTTGTTAATTCTGTTCAGCTTCAGGTTGTTCTTCAAGAGATTAGATTAGACGGGAGTGAGAGGTGTGTGTTGGGGGGTGGGGTGGGGGGTAATCTGTAATAACTTGTTTGGGGACAGAAGAAAACATTTCAGACAGACAATAACAATTTTTCATCTGCCTTAATGTTTGCTGGTACATCTCAAGGTGGTGAATCCAATCAGACAAATAGTGTGTAAAAAGTGCTGATAGAACAGCAATCCTTCATATTGGTCAGGCAGCCAGGAAATGGCCTGAACAGCCACAGACGCTGTTTTGTAGAACACCAGGAGACCACCAAGCCAATCTGTAGAATCCAGTGATCAGAATCCAGATATACGTATATCCAGAGCAGAGTTCTGAACAGAGAGAAAGTTCTGGTTGTTGTTAAAGTTCAGACTGTTGTTGTTAAAGTTCTGCCTGTAGTTAAGGTTCTGCTTGTACTTAAAGTTCTGCCTGTTGTTAAAGTTCTGCCTGTTGTTAAAGTTCTGCCTGTTGTTAAAGTTCTGCCTGTTTTTAAAGTTCTGCCTGTTGTTAAGGTTCTGCCTGTTGTTAAAGTTCTGCCTGTAGTTAAGGTTCTGCCTGTAGTTAAGGTTCTGCCTGTTAAAGTTCTGCCTGTAAAGTTCTGCCTGTTGTTAAAGTTCAGATTGTTGTTGTTAAAGGTCTGCCTTTTGTTGTTAAAGTTCTGATTGTTGTTGTTAATGTTCTGCCTGTTGTTAACGTTCTGATTGTTGTTGTTAAAGTTTTAATTGTTGTTGTTAAAGTTCTGCCGATTGTTGTTAAAGTTCTGCCTGCTGTTAAAGTTTTGATTGTTGTTAAAGCTTTGATTGTTGTTAAAAGTTTTGATTGTTGTTGTTAAAGCTTTGATTGTTGTTAAAGTTTTGATTGTTGTTGTTAAAGCTTTGATTGTTGTTAAAGTTTTGATTGTTGTTGTTAAAGCTTTGATTGTTGTTGTTAAAGTTTTGATTGTTGTTAAAGTTTTGATTGTTGTTATTAAAGTTCTGATTGTTGTTGTTAAAGTTCTGATTGTTGTTGTTAAAGTTCTGATTGTTGTTGTTAAAGTTCTGATTGTTGTTGTTAAAGTTCTGATTGTTGTTGTTAAAGTTCTGATTGTTGTTAAAGTTCTGCCTGTTAAAGTTCTGATTGTTGTTGTTGTTAAAGTTCTGATTGTTGTTGTTAAAGTTCTGATTGTTGTTGTTAAAGCTCTGATGGTTGTTGTTAAAGTTCTGATGGTTGTTGTTAAAGTTCTGATTGTTGTTGTTGTTAAAGCTCTGATTGTTGTTGTTAAAGCTCTGATTGTTGTTGTTAAAGTTCTGATGGTTGTTGTTGTTAAAGTTCTGGTTGTTGTTGTTGTTAAAGTTCTGATTGTTGTTGTTGTTAAAGTTCTGATTGTTGTTGTTAAAGTTCTGATGGTTGTTGTTGTTGTTAAAGTTCTGGTTGTTGTTGTTGTTAAAGTTCTGATTGTTGTTGTTGTTAAAGTTCTGATTGTTGTTGTTAAAGTTCTGATTGTTGTTGTTAAAGCTCTGATGGTTGTTGTTAAAGTTCTGATGGTTGTTGTTAAAGTTCTGATTGTTGTTGTTGTTGTTAAAGTTCTGGTTGTTGTTGTTGTTAAAGTTCTGCCTGTTAAAGTTCTGGATGTTGTTAATTAGGGATGAGCTTGTTACATTTATCGCATTTCGATTGTGAGATAATAAAGGCTTTATTATTAATTTGTTGACAGGGTTTATAATAAAACCGTTCTCAGCAGGACGGTTCTGAATATTTGGACCTGTCTCATGTACAGGTCTGCACAGTGTGTCTTTCAGAATCACTTTATTCTAATGCAGACTAAAACTTCTGGATATAATTGGTTTTATTATAAACCTGGATGATGAATTTGGCTCATTAGTAGCAGATAAACTGTTTTGGTTTTGATCCTCAGACTGTGTGCATACTCAGATATGACCCTGTGACCTTTGACCCCTGTCTGCAGGAGACCTGCTGCCTGCTGACGGGATCCTGATCCAAGGAAACGACCTGAAGCTCGATGAGAGCACTCTGACCGGAGAGACCGATCAGGTTCGCAAATCACTGGAGAAGGACCCCATGTTGCTGTCTGGTGAGCGCACACGCACACACACACACACACACACACACACACACACACACACACACACACTGATCACAGGAGAGGCATGAGTTTGAAACACAGGTTTCCAGAGAAAAGCCGGTTGTGTTGTGACACCTGGGTTGTGAAATGTCTCCTCAGGGACTCATGTGATGGAAGGATCTGGCAGGATGGTGGTGTCAGCTGTCGGCCTCAACTCTCAGACGGGCATCATCTTAACCCTGATGGGCAGCAGTGAGCACGACGAAGTGAAGAAGGTCAAGAAAAGTAAGACGTGCAAAAGAAGCGGTCACACGTGGCACAAACACAAGCGAATGTCAGAGGTCATACGACTGTATGAAGTGTTGAGACAAGCAGAGTAACCGTCCTGAAGCTTCTGAAGAAGAGCTTGAACATGTCTGAGCTTGTGTTGGTTTTCTGCTGAGTCCTGCAGTTTGACCATGACTGAATAAATGAGACCAAAGATGAGTTCATGTGGTGCATCACATTCAAGACTCAAGTATCGACCCGTTGTTTGTTTCCAACTTTCATTTTACTCACTGATGAGCAAACTTATGCAGTTAAGATATTTCTTTTAGATCAGGTAACAGGAATCCTGCCCAAAAGGTTCTGATCTGACCCAATGTGTTCTTCCTTTAACTGTCAAACTGAGGACAAACTGCAGATTTGACCCAGTTTCTAGTGTTGGGGACAGTGGGCTCGTCGGCACATGAACCCCACCCAGCTGCACACATGTTGCCAACTGCCAATGAAAACGAGTGGGCGGGGCACAGGAAGTGGCGTCAGAAAAGCAGATAGCTGCACAGATGACAGCAGCAGCGAGCTGATTGTCAGCCATGTTTGTTTGTCCTTCACCAGAGTTTCCTGCGTTCAGCAGGTTTGACAGAGTCTGATGGTGGTCTTTTAAAAACTGATCCACCTCTGGACCCATCCTTTCCTCAGAACAATGTGTGATTGGCCACCTGAACAAACTCTCCTCGTGGTCTCATTTATTTCAGAGTTTGGGTTTGTGGGAATGAAAGGCAGCAGCAGATGTTAATGGTGTAAAGTTGATTAGAGCATGTTTTTGAGTGTCTCAGAGCAGATTGATACAAACCAACAGGCTTCTGCAGTCCGTCTCTACTGCTTTAGATTTGCTTGTGATCATGCTAACACCCTTTTCCTCGTCTTTTTTCTTTACTTTGTTTTTGTCTGACCATTTGTTTTATTGGCTAAAGTTTGAGTTTGTCAGGCATTCATTGTGAACCGGCTGAATGCAGCAGCTCAGCAGAGAGAGACACTCAGAGTTTATCATCTGCTGACCAGTTCCAAACTAACAAACCAAAACAATCAAACAACCTCCTGAGAAGAACCACGTCCTAAATGTTCAGAATCCATCTGAAGAACCAAACTAAACTAAAAACTTTATCTGAAAACATCCTGACTTTCTAAAAAGACAATTTGTTTTTAATAGATGCTTTGCAAGTTCACAAGCACACACGTGCACACACGTGCACACAAAACATCACAACCACCTTTTATTTTTTAACAAATGTTCCACCATTAGCTAAAAACACAAACATGAACAGAGCTGTAATAAACCCAGTGTTTTCTGTTTGCGGTCCTGTTTCATGGTCAGGTGTTGGTGGTTCTCTGCAGACTGAATCTCTTGTCTCTCTCGTCTGATCCGTCCATTCCTGCCCACAGCACACACACGACACACACACACCTGTGGGTTTCTATCAGTTTGAATTTTGTTTTCTCCCTCAGTTTGATTCGATCTTTTCCTTTGAGCCATTTATCAGCATTCCGCCCTCTCTCTCTGTCCGAACAGGTAAAAAACAAGGACCCCCCGAAAATCGCAACAAAGGTAACCCCTCCATTCATCCATCTGTCCCTCTGTCCCTCCATCCTCCCTGTGACTCACCCCCTCCTCACCCCCAGCCAGCGGCGGGAGGGGAGGCTGTCCTCCATCTCTCTGTCTCTCTCTCTCTGCTGAATAAAGGGGGGATGGCCTTTCACCTCGCTTTAGCTGTGCAAGGATGCAACTCCCACCCATCAGGTCTTTAACAGCCATTCAGTGTCCACTGTTGCCACGGTGACACCAAACAGTGTCTCAGTCCTCAGGAAAGAAAGCATTTCCTGTCATTGTATAAATAATTAGTTGTCAGAGCTTGATTTGAGTTTAGAACAAAAGTTTTTCCACTCAGCTGGTTGTTGGTGTGAGACCAGATGATGAGCAGCAACTAATCATTAATGTTACAATAATAAATGTTAAACTAAATAACTAAATATTTTGTTACAGTCCACATTCATCTGATGCTTTTCAATTCAGTTTTTTAATAAATAACAAACGTCGTCTCAGCTGTTGAATCTTCACTTCATCCTGAGCTGCACGTGGTGACACTAATCCTGTTTCCATCCAGTTGTAGAGTGAATTTTTATCGAACTTTCACAAAATTGGCAAAAAATTAAATAAATAAAAATTCGAATCTCCACCGTTTCCATCTAGTTTCCCTCTCGACTGTTTGCTGCGAATAAACGAGGCTACGCAACGCGTGATTACGTCAGACGAGGCTACGCAATGCGTGATTACGTCAGACGAGGCTACGCAACGCGTGATTACGTCAGACGAGGCTACGCAATGCGTGATTACGTCAGACGAGGCTACGCAACACGTGATTACGTCAGACGTCGACGACAAGCTTTGCGGTAGTAAACAGGAAGTGAAACTTGCTAACTAGCAGAGGCTAATCATCTCAGGACAATGGAGAGATTTTTTCGTGAATGCCTTGCTATTGGGCAAGTTGTAATTATTCTATCTGTTCAGCTAGTACAGGCTATGTTTAATGCTGCCAGGAGACGTAGGGAAATAAACGCAATGAAACCACGCAGCAGAAAGTCACGTGCAACTACGCCGGGACGAGGCAGGAAAGCGGAAACAGCTGAACGTCACGTGAGGTAAATTTGCGCTACGTCAGAATTTATTCAGCAAACATGTTTCCATCTCCCGTTTTGTGCATTAACTACTTTGTGAATCATCCAAAAACCACCTCAAGCGAGTGTAAAAACTTTTTAGGTAATTGAGGAATTTTTTTTTTCGAATTTTGCTGTTTCCATCCGACTTTTTTTCGCATTTTTAATGCAACACTTCTAAATGCGCATCAAAAATCCTTGATGGAAACACGGTTAGTGGAGAGGAAAAACTCCCTTTAACAGGAAGAAAGCTCCAGCAGAACCAGAACCAGGGACAGGACAGAGACACAAAGACTGAAGGACAGGTCCAGCTGTATTTTCTTCTGGAAGAGAAACAAAGAAAACCAACATTAAAGACTTCTTTAACCACACAGAACATTTCAGATTAATCACTAACAAACAACAATAACTGATGCTTTGAGACAAACAATTTTGTTAAAACATAAACATGTTTTTATTGTTTGTGAAGAGAAATATTAACTCCTTATGTGCATCAAGTGCTTCAGTAGAAAAACCTGCTGATAGTTTTTAACCTCAACTTCAGATGTTTTGTTAAAATTATAACCAAGTTTTACTGGTTTGGAGAGTAAACCAAACTTTGACCTGAAAACAGGTGTGTGCAGGAGCAGCATGTCCACAACCATCATGCAGCTGATGTGAGCTCTGCAGTCAGTGTGCCCGTGCATCTTCATCTTGAAGATGAGATTACCAGCTAAAGTAATTTAAGATAAAAACACTCCTAATTTGTCTGTAGTTATTAGATTTTTCATTGAATATTCAATAGACTCATTTTGATAAAACAATGAAGTTTGATGCAGTGACAGTTCCATGGGCTCACTCTGACCTCTGAGGCATTCTTAATAGATTTGATTTCTGATGACGTCATCTGTTTGTTGTACAAAATCAGCCAACTGTCCTCCATTTTTCTACGTGATTCTGAACACACCCGGACCCCCTCCTCCCTGCTCCTGTGGTTAAAGCATCTGCTGCAGACAGACGGCTTCTTGATGTACCAGGAAACACACGGATCATCACACAAACACACAGAAATAAATCATAGAGCTGCTGTCACACACAACCTCCAAAACACCTCCAGAAGTTCAAAACACTTTTTAACCACATTCATTGAACAAGAGAAAAAGACCACAGCAATATCATATCAAAATACAGACAACAAACATTCTTAAAACTCTTAATTTACTCAGTTTCACTCACTTTATTGTGATTCTATCACTGTCAAATGTAGAAAAACTGATTCATATTTAATTTGTTGTAGTTTGACCCAAACCTGATGATAGAATAGAATATACTTTACTGATCCCCAAGAGGAAATTGTTTATTTGTTGATGAGTTAATTCTTTCAAAGTGACAATATATATATATATATAT